TCGCCTTCTCCAGGCCGAAATTGGCTGAAAATGAGATTCAACATTCAAAATTTCCAATATCCAAGAGTTGCTCCCAGACAAACCTGCCAATACAGAGAGACAGGCCTGGCCTTGGCCTCTGGCGACTGCAGGTCATCAGTCCCTGAAACACTGGGGCTCCGTGGTTTCCTTCCTATGGAGACCATTGTGACACTGTGGGGTTCCATGGAGCCAAAGGGCCGTTGTGATCCTGCAGGGCACCGTGGATCCATGGAGACCATTGTGGCATAGCAAGGCCCCAGGGAATCATGGAGACCATTGTGACACTGTGGGGCCCCAGGGAACCAAAGGGCCACTGTGACCCTGCAGGGCCTCATGGAAGCACGGGGCCATTGTGACACTGCAGAAGCAAGGAGAGCATTGTGACACTGCAGGGCCTCATGGAACCCAGGGAACATGGAACAGATCTGGCTGGCTTGGCCTCTCAGGGGCCACCTGACAGGTCCAGCTGATCTTGGAATACTGAGGGCTGCTTCTCATCAGCCCCTGGAGAACTGGGGCTTGGTGCTTTCCTTCCTATGGAAAAGAACCATCCCTCTTTCCAGGTGCCCACAGCCAAAACTGATACTCCCCCTGAAAAATTCCCTATCTGCAAGGGTTCTCCCAGGCAAAAGCTGCCAGGACAGAGAGCTCTGGCTGGCCTTGGCCTCTGCTGGTCACCTCTCATCTCAAGGAAGCCCTGAGGAAAGTATTTGAACAGGTTTGACTGCTGGGACGTCAATGAATCTCTCCTCCTCTGAAAAACTCAGATGCTGTTCTAATAATATATGCCTTTTTTTCTCATGGTGTATCATGCATGACTGTTGCCTTCTCAAGGCGTGGCAACCTGGTTCTCACTCCGGCACGGTGGCCCAAAGCCCAGGGTCACTCGGTCCACATGCTCCTGACACCAACGTGGTGGACAGCAAATGGCATTTATTGACGGGTCACCGGGGTTTTTATGGCTTGGGCAGTCAGTGTCATTTCCTTCTGCTCACGTCCGGCTGGGTGCGGCCAGGCACGGAGCAAAGGTCTGACTGCAGAGGGGGGGTGTCCTGACTGACCGTACAGCCCCATTCCTGCTGCACACACAGATCCCTGACTGACCGTACAGCCCCATTCCTGCTGTACACAGCCCTGACTGACCGTACAGCCCCATTCCTGCTGCACACACAGATCCCTGACTGACCGTACAGCCCCATTCCTGCTGTACACAGCCCTGACTGACCGTACAGACCCATTCCTGCTGTACACAGCCCTGACTGACCGTACAGCCCCATTCCTGCCGTACACAGCCCTGACTGACCGTACAGACCCATTCCTGCTGTACACAGCCCTGACTGACCGTACAGCCCCATTCCTGCCGCACACAGCCCTGACTGACCGTACAGCCCCATTCCTGCTGTACACAGCCCTGACTGACCGTACAGCCCCATTCCTGCTGTACACAGCCCTGACTGACCGTACAGCCCCATTCCTGCCGCACACACAGCCCTGACTGACCGTACAGCCCCATTCCTGTAACACACACACAGCCCTGACTGACCGTACAGCCCCATTCCTGCCGCACACACAGCCCTGACTGACCGTACAGCCCCATTCCTGCTGCACACACACAGCCCTGACTGACCGTACAGCCCTATTCCTGTAACACACACACAGCCCTGACTGACCGTACAGCCCCATTCCTGTAACACACACACAGCCCTGACTGACCGTACAGCCCCATTCCTGCTGCACACACAGATCCCTGACTGACCGTACAGCCCCATTCCTGCCGCACACACACAGCCCTGACTGACCGTACAGCTCCATTCCTGCTGCACACACAGCCCTGACTCTCCACAGAATTTTTGGGGATTTTGGGGTTTGAAATGGGAATTTTGGGGAATGTTGGAAGGAATTGGGGGATTTTTGGAAGAAATTCTGGGGGGATTTTGGGGGCATTTGGGGCATTTTGGGAAAATTGGGGGAATTTTTAGGACATTTGGGGGCTCCAGGTGGCGCCGGGCGGCACTGGGGGACAGCTCTAGGAAATTGGGGAAACTTGGGAAAATTTGTGGAAAATTTGTGGAATTTCTGGCATTTTTGGGGATTTTTGGGAATTTTGTTTGAGATTTTGGAAGGTTTTGGGGCACTTTCGGAGTTTAGGTGATTTTTAGGGGGAGTTTTGGGGTTTGAAATGGGAGTTTTGGGGGAAATTTTGGGGAGTTTTATGAAAATTTTGTGGCTTGAAATGGGATATTTGGGGGGAAAATTTGGGATGTTTTGGGATTTTTTTTGGATTTTGGAAGACATTTTTTAGGGATTTTGGGATTTTCTGGGAATTTTGAGGAATTTTGAGGAGATTTGGGGGCTCCAGGTGGTGCTGAGCAGCTCCAGGGCAGAGCTCTGGGAAATTCAAAGTTTTTTTAGGAAATTTGTGGAAATTTGGGGATGTTTTGGGATTTGGGGAAGTTTTAGGGGAGGTTTTGGGATTTTAAGGGGGTTTTATGGTGTTGAAATGGGAACTTTTGGGGTTTAAGTTGCAATTCTTAAAGGACTTTGGGGAAGTTTTGTGGGGTTTTCTTGACATTTTGGAAGGAATTTTGGTGCAGTTTGGGGGATTTTGGGGCCTCCAAACGGCCCCAGCTCAGGGAACAAGGGGATTTTTGAGGAAATTTTGGGATTTCTTGGGGAATTTTGGGGATTTTTTTAAATATTGGAAGGAATTTCAGGGAGATTTGTGGAAAGTTTGAAGAGTTTTGGGGAAATTCTGGGAAATTTTAGGAACTTTTGGGGCATTTTTGGGGTTGCAATGGGAATTTTTGGGAATTTTGTGGGACTTGGGGGGGATTTGGGGAAATGCTGAGGGGGTTTGGGTGTTTTGAGGGGAATTTTTGGGAATTTTGGGGGAATGGGGGGTTGGGAGTTGAAATGGGAATTTTTTGGGGTTGAAATGGAAATTTTTGGGAGAATTTGGGGGATTTTTTAGGTACATTGGGGAAATTTGGGGAGATTTGAAAAATTTTGGGGGAGTTTGGGAGGATTCTGGGAATTTTTAGGGGGATTTTGGGATTGAAATGGGAATTTTGGGGATGTTTTGGGAATGTTGGAAGGGATTTAGGGGATTTTTAGAAGAAATTTGGGGGGAGTTCGGGTGATTTTTGGGAATTTTGCAGGATTTTTGGGAATGAGGAAAGGAATTTGGGGGAGTTTTGGGGAAGTTTGGGGAATTTGGGGTCCAGCTCTGGGAATTTTGGGGATTTATGGGGATTGAAATGGGAATTTGGGGGAATTTTTGGGACTTTTTGGGAATTTTGGGGTTTCTGGGAGATTTTTGGGGGTTGAAATGGGAAAATTTTGGGGATTTTGTTTGATGTTTTGGGAATGGTGGAAGAGATTTTAGGGAATTTGGGGGGGATATCTGGGGGTCCTGGAGGGGATTTGGGGGAATTTTGGGGTTAAAATGGGAATTTTGAGGGACTGTAATGGGAAATTGGGCATTTTGGGGGGAATCTTAGGGAAATTGGTGGAATTTGGGATTTTTTGGGGAATTTTTAGGAATATTGGAAGGCGTTTGGGGGGAGTTTTGGGGGATTTTGTGGAGTCTTGGGGCTTTGGGATGTCCAGCTCTGGGAATATTGGAGACTTTTGGAATTTTGGGGGAATTTTGGGGAATTTGGGGGTCCTGGAATGGATTTGGGGCAGTTTTGGGGAAATCTGGGGAATAACTGGGAATTTTGGGGAGAATTTTTGGGAATTTGGGAAGAATTTGGGGGTCCAGTTCTGGGAAATTCAGAAATTTTGAGGATTTTTGAGAATTATTCTTAAACTTGGGGGATTCTGGAGGGCATTTGGGAAATTTTTAGAGAATTTTTGGGAGAATTTTGGGGATTTTTTGGAATATGAGGGGAATTTGGGTGAAAAATTCATTAAAAATTTGGGATTTTTGAGGGATTCTTTAAAATTTGGGGGATCCTGGAGTGGATTTGGGGGTTTAAAGAAGAAATTTTAGGGTTTAAAATGAAGGTTGAGGGATTGAAATGGGAATTTTGAGAGGATATGGGGAATTTTTGGGGCAATTTTGGAGTCTTAAAAGGATTTTTGGGGTTTAAATGGAATTTTTGGGGTTTCGTTGGGGTTTTGGGGGATTCAAATAAGAATTTTGAGGGTATTTTGGGTTTTAATTGTGATTTTGGGGGAATTTTAAGGAATTTTGGTGTTCAGCACTGGAAAAAATTCGAAATTTTGGGGAATTTTTGGGCATTTTTGGGTCCAGCTCTGGGAATTTGGTGAATTTTCAGGGTCCTGTGAGGAGTTTTTAAGAAATTTGGGAGAAAATTTTGAGAATTGTGGGGCATTTGGGCTTCTGGAGGAATCTGGGAGGAATTTGGGGAATTCTGGGAATATTTTGGAAATTTTGGGGAGGATTTGTGTTGTTTTGGGATATATTCGGGAAATCTTTTGGCATTTCGGCGCTTTCTGAGGGGATTTGAGGGGTTTTGGGGGGTCCCGAGGGGGATTTTTGTGGAATTTTGGGGGTTTTGGGGCGGTTTTTGGCGTTTTTGGGGCTCCCGGCCGAGCTCACCTTTTTTCTCCACCTTCACCTTGGCGGCCATCACGGCTCCGGACGCGTCCCTGGGGCCTGGCAGGGGTGAGAGGCTCGTGAGGGATCCCAAAAATCCCCCAAAATGCCCCAAAATCGCCTCAAATCCCCCCAAAATCCGCGCCCCCTTCTCACCGCCGCCCTCAGGAGCTGCCGCTTCCCGCCTTCCGTCGGCGCCACCTCCCACTGGTCGACCTGCCTGTCAATCATAGCTTGCAACCAATCAGCGGCCTTGAAGGCGGTATCTAAAGGCTGCGCCATTTTGGCTTTTTTCGACTACAATTCCCGTCATGCCCTGCGGCGGCAAAGTGAGCTATTAAACGCTGGACTCCAGGTCCCAGCATGCCTCGCGGCCTCTTAGAGCGCCACTGAAACGGGGCCAACAACTCCCGTCATGCCCTGCGGCACTACACGTAAGTATTGATGGCTGGCTTACAATTCCCTTCATGCTCCGCGGCCCCATAGAATCTAAAGGAAGCCCGGCCTACACCTCCCGTCATGCCACGCAGCCACACAGAGTGCCTGGTACACGCCCCCAAATTTCCCTCCAAACCCAAAGTTGCTCCTCAGTTGCCCCCCCGGACCCCCAAGTGCCTCCCAGGATTCCTAAGTGATCTCTCAGCCCCCACTCAGGACCTCCGAGTGCCCTCACGGACTCCCAGGTGCCCCCCTAAACCTCCCCCCGCCCCACAGACCCTCAGTCTGCGCCTACAATTCCTATGCTGCCCAGAGCCTACAACTCCCATCATCCCCCGCGCCCCACAGAAGCCAGGTAAAGCCAGGATCCAGCTCACCAGGTGACCCTGAGTGCCCTCAGACCCAAAGTTCCCCTCGGGTGTCTTTTAAGTGTCCCTTAAATGGCTCCTCTGACCCATAAGTGGCCCTTAGGACCCCGAAGTGCCCCCAGACCCCCAAGTTTCCCCATCGACCAACTTCCTGGTTTACAGCTCCCATCATGCCCCGCGACGCCCATTGAGTTCCATTACAAACACGCATACAACTCCCATCAGCCCCCGCGCCCTATAGAGAATCATTATAACCCATAGAGTCCCATAGAGAATCATTATAACCCATAGAGCCCCATTACAGGTGTGCATACAACTCCCATCAGGCCCCACGCCCCATAGAGAATCATTATAACCCATAGAGCCCCATTACAAACACGCATACAACTCCCATCATCCCCCCCGCCCCATAGAGAATCATTACAGCCACGCCTACAACCCCCATCCTGCCTCGCGCACCACAGCGCCCCTGTTACTCGCTTACAACTCCCGTAATGCCCCGCGCCTCCCATAGCCCATCACTGCATGCCCCGCCCCTCCCGCACTACAACTCCCGTGCTGGCCCGCGGCGCTTTTCCCGCGGTTTTTCGCTCTCCTCAGCGCCCCCTGGCCATGATGGCGGAGGCGCTGGAGCGGTGGCTCTGGGAGGAGATGGAGCTGCCGCCCTCCGCCATCCCCTCCCCGGCCGCGCTCCGCAGGTCGGGACCAGCCGGGGACCCCCATGGGGACCCCCCTGAGGCGGGGAGGGGCCGGGGGGTTTCGGGCTGCCGGGGGTGGAAACCCCCCGAGGGCTCCGTGAGGGGAGAGCGGGAATGTGGGGGGGGGCTGAGGAGGTTTGGGGTCCCTTTGGAGGGTCCTGAGAGGTTTTGGGGAGTCCTGGGGGGATTTTGGGCTCCCTCTGGAGAGTACTGGGAGGTTTTGGGGTCCCTTTGGAGAGTACTGGGGAGGTTTTGGGGTTCCTTTAGAAGATCCTGGAAGGGTTTGGGGGTCCCCTTGGAGGATCCTGGAGGAATTTTGGGGGTCCTGAAGGGATTTTGGGGTCCCTATGAAACATCCTGGGGCGTTTTGGGGTCCCCTTGGAGGGTCCTGAGGGGGTTTTAGGGGTCCTGAGTGAATTTTGCGTCCTCTTGGAGGGTCTGAGGGGGTTTAGGGGTGCTGGGGGGATTTTGGGGTCCTTTTGGGTGGTCCTGTGTGAGTTTTGGGGTCCTTTTGAGGGGTCCTTGGGGGATTTTGGGGTCCCTTTAGAGGGCCCTGGGTGGGTTTGGGGGTCCTGAGGTGGTTTTGCGGTCTCTTTGGAGGGTCCTGAGAGGTTTTGGGGAGTCCTGGGGGGATTTTGGGCTCCCTCTGGAGAGTTCTGGGGGGTTTTGGGGTCCCTTTGGAGGGTCCTGGGGATGCTTTTGGGGTCCTTTAGGAGGTCCTGGAGAATTTGGGGTCCCCTTGAAGGGTCCCTTGGGAGGTTTTGGGGGGTCCTGTGGGGATTTTGGGGTCCCTTTGGGGGGTCCTGAGGGGTCCTTTTGGGGTCCCTTTTAGGGCATCCTGAGTGGATTTGGGGGTTCCTGGGGGTGATTTTCGGGTTCCTGGGTGAATTTTATGGTCACCCCCAAATGTTGGGGTGCCCCAATTCCCTCCCCTGCAGGCTCTGCTCCGGCCCCGCAGCCCCCATTTGGGATTACGTCACCCGCCACGTCCGGAACCAGCGGTGAGGGGGGACCCCAACATTGGGGAGAGTGAAAAACCCCAAAAATTGAAAGGGGACCCCAAAATTTAAGGGGAAGGAGGGGGAGATGCTTTCCGGGCCTACAGCTCCCATCATCCCCCGCGCCCCACTGAGTTCCATTATAGCCAAGCCTACAACTCCCATCATGCTCCACGCCCCATTCAGTGTCATTATGGCCGGCATACAGCTCCCATCACGCCCTGCACCGCCCATAGAGCATCATTGCAGGCCCCACCCCCCTGAACTACAGCTCCCATCATGCCCCGCGCCACTTTTCCCGCTCTTTTTCCCGGTTCTCCCCTCACAGAATTTTTGGGGTGTCCCCACAGGAACGTGAAGAAGATCCGAGGAAATCTGCGCTTGTATCCGAAATTTTGGGGGATCCTCAAAAATTTGGGGGTTCCTGGGATAGAAAATTCTGGAAACCCCAAAATCTGGGGTGGGGGTTCCCAAATTTGGGGGTTCAACCTTCAGTTGAAGGGGAGATTTTTGGGGGATCCCCAAATTGTTCCTTAACTCGGGGCTCAGGTACGGGCACCTGCAGGAGCTGGAGGTGAGGGTGACCCAAAACCTGAGGGGGAATTGGGGTCAGATTTGGGGTGGGGAACCCAAAATTTGGGGAGGTTCCCTCAGATTTGGGGACATTTTGGGGAAATTTTGGGATTTTTGGGGAATTTTCAGGAATTTTAAGGGATTTTTTTGGATTTTGGGGGATCTTTTTTGATTTTTGGAGGGGATTTGAGGGAATTTTGGGGGGTCCAGGGGAGTTTTGGAGCTTGAAATGGGATTTTTTTTGTGGGCAAAATGCAAAATTTTTGGAGAATGTTTTTGGGTTTGGTGGGAATTTTGGGAGGGATTTGGGGGGTTTGGGGCATTTAAAAGTGATTTTTCGGGGGATTTTTTGGGGAATTTTGAGGATTTTTTGCGGGACTTTTGGGATTTTTCAGGGGTTTTGGGGAATTTTGGAAATGACTTTGGGGAGTTTTTGGGATTTTTTGACAATCTCAGGGATATCTGGGTGAATTTTGGGGGGAATTCAGGCGGATTTGGGGTCCATTTTGAGCCTCATTTTTGTGGGATTTTGAGGGGTATTGGGAATTTTTGGGGAGAATTTTGGGTGATTTTTGGGGAGAATTTTGGGGGTTTTTTTGGGATTTTTAGGGGGATTTTGTGGATGTTTTCGGGAATTTTTTGGGGAATTTTTTTAGAATTTTCGGGGATTTTTGGATATTTGGGAATTTTCAGGTTTTTGGGAATTTTGAAAAAGATTTTGGGATTCTTTGACAATCTCAGGGCTACTTGAGGGGATTTTGGGGTGAATTTGGGAGGATTTAGGGTCAATTTTGAGCCTCATTTTTGTGGCATTTTGGGGTTTTTGGGAGTTTTTGGGGGAATTTTGTGGATTTTTTGGGGGGAATTTTGGTGGAAATTTTGGGGGGAATTTGAAGGATTTTTTGGGGGGGCAATTTTGGGGATTTTTTGGAGGATTTGGAGCCATTTTAACCCTCATTTGTGTGGAATTTTTGGGTTCTTTTGTGGGGTTTTCCCGTTAGTTTGGAAGTTTTGGGTATCATGAGGACGCGGGGCACAATCTCAGGGATTTTGGGGTGAATTTTGGGCAGATTTGGGTCCATTTTGAGCCTCATTTTTATTAAATTTTGGGGATTTTTGGGGGGCAATTTTTGGGAGATTTTTTCAGGGAGATTTGGGGGGGAATTTGGGGAATTTTGGGGATTTTTGGGGGAATTTTTGGGATTATTTTGGAGGGGAATTTTGGGTGAATTTGGACGGATTTGGGGGTTGATTTTGAGCCTCATTTTGGTTTTTTTGGTGGGATTTCCCCAAACTTTGGGAGTTTTGGGTATCATGAGAACCCTGGGCCCAATCTCAGGGATATTGGGGTGAATTTTGGGTGCATTTTGGGCTGAATTCGGGTGGATTTGGGTCCATTTTGAGCTTCATTTTTATAAAATCTTGGGGGTTTTGGGGGAATTTTGGGATTTTTTTTGAGCCTTGTTTTTATAAAATTTGTGGGGATTTTTGGGGGGAGTTTTGGGGGGAATTTTGGAGAGTTTTTGGGGATTTTTTTTCGGGGAATTTTGGGGTCAATTTTGTGCCTCATTTTTGCGGGATTTTGGGGTATTTTTTGTGGGATTTTTCTCGGTTTTTTTGTGAGCTTTGAGTGTTGTGAGAACCTAGGGCACAATCTCAGGGATGTTGGGGTGAATTTGGGCGGATTTGGGTCAATTTTGAGCCTCATTTTTGGGGGTTTTCTCTTTTTTGGGGGGAGTTTTGGGTATCGTGAGGACGCTGGGCACAATCTCAGGGATATTGTGGTGAATTTTGAGGTGAATTTGGTCAGATTTGGGCCAATTTTAATCCTCATTTTTGTGGAATTTTGGGTTTTTTGTGGGGTTTTGTCAATATTTTGAGAGTTTTGGGTATCGTGAGAACCCTGGGCACACTCCCAGGTACATTTGGGTGAATTTTGGCTGAATTCTGCCTGAATTGTGGCGCTTTTGGGCCCGTTTTGGCGCAGGCCGCTCCAGCTCGGCCGGGCCAGCAGGGGGCGCTGCGCGCGGCCGTGGAGCGGCTCCGGAAGGAGGTGCGGGACCTGGGGGACGCCATTGCGGACGCACAGGAAACGGCGCAGCGCCTCGGTGAGTCCGGCCGGAAACGCGGCCCCCGCACAAAGGTTCCTACCCTCCAAACCTCCATTTCGGGGGCTCCCCACCCCCAAATTTTGGGGTCCGCGCCATTTCTGGGGTCTCATGATGCCCCTAAGTCCCAATTTTGGGGTCCTTACCAGAAATTTGGGATTCCTTGCCCACTCAAAACCCCAATTTTGCGGTCCCTGACCCTCCCCTAACCCCAAGTTTGGGGTCCCTGATGCTCCCAAACCCCAATTTTGGGGTCCCTGAACACCCCAGCCCCAAATTTGGGGTCCCTTTCCCCAATTTTAGGGTCCCAGCACCCCCAAAACCCCAACTTTGTGGTCCGATGTCCTCCTGGACCCCAATTTTGGGGTCCTTGAGCCACTAAAGCCCCAGTTTGGCATCTTCACCCTAAATTTTGGGGTCCCCTTTCCCAATTTTGGAGTCCCTGGACCCCCTCCCCCCCCCAACCCCAATTTTTGGCTCCTTACTGTATTTTGGGGTCTCTACCCCCAAATTTTGGGGTCCCCCTGATTTGCAGTGTCCCAGAACTCCCATAATCCCGATTTTGGGGTTCCTGACCCCCCCAAACCCCAGTTTTCGAGACCCATCCCCAATTTTGGAGTCTCAGGAACCCCCAAACCCCAATTTTTCTCCAAGCCCTAAATTTACGGTCCCGTTCCCCCTTTTTGAGCTCCCAGGACCACCAAAACCCCAAATCTGGGGTCCCTGAACCCTCAAACCACAAATTTTGGGGTCCTTTCCCCATTTTTAGGGTCTCTGATCGAGGCCAAACCCCAATTCTGGGATCCCTGATGAACTCAAACCCCAATTTTGGGGTTCCATGTCCTCCTAGACCCCAATTTTGGGGTCCCCTTCCTCAATTTTGGGGTCCCTGTTCCCCCTAAATCCCAATTTTTGGGTCCCCTTCCCCAATTTTAGGGTCTCAGACCGCCCCCGGACTCCAATTTTGGGGTCCCTACCCCTAAATTTTGGGACCCCTTCCCCATTTTTAGGGTCCCAGACCCCCCCTAAACCCCAAATTTGGGGTCCCTGAACCCCCCAAACCTCAATTTTGCGGTCCCCATCCCCATTTTTAGGATCCCTGAGCCCCTCTAAACCCCAATTTTGAGATTTTCACCCCCAAATTTTGAGTTCCTCCCCCAATTTTGGGGTCCCGTGACCCCCCCAAATCCCAAATTTGGGATCCCTGAACCCCCCAAACCCCAATTTTGGGGTCCCTTCCCCAATATTTTGGGTCCCAGGATCCCCCTAAACCCCAAATTTGGGATCCTCACCGCAATTTCGGGGTCCCTTCCCTCAGTTTCGGGCTCCCTGACCCCCCAAACCCCAAATTTGGGGGTTCTCACCCCAAACCTTTGGGGTGCCCCTTTCCCCCCCAGACGCCTTGCTGGAGGAGGCGCAGAGCCGGCGGTGGGCGGAGCTTCAGCGAGGGGCGGAGCTTCGGCTGCTGGGGGTGGAGCTTCAGCGAGAGGCGGAGCTTCAGCGAGGGGCGGAGTCGGGCCCGGCTGGGCTGCGGGACGGCCACGAGGAGGCGCTGAGGGCAATCCATAAAAGGTAAAAGGGGCGGGGCCTGAAGGGGCAGGGTGGAAGGGGCGGGGCCTTGCAGTGTTTCCTTATATGGGCAGTGGGGGAATTTGGGGGATTTTTAGATTTTTTGGTCCCTGACTGAATTTTGGGGCCCTTCAGGGGATTTTGGGTGATTTTTGAGGGGATTTTGGAGGATTCTCTGGGACTTGGGAGGATTTTGAAGGGTTTTCAAGAGATTTTTTGTGTCTCTCGGGGATTGTGAGGAGATTTTGGGGCATTTTGAGGAGAATTAGGGGTCCCTAAAGCATTTTTTGAGGATTTTGGGTTCCTCAGGCAATTTTGAGACAATTTGAAGGATTTTGAGGGGATTTTGTATTCCTACTGGGATTTTGGGAAAATTTGAAGGGTTTTGATGAGGTTTTGGGGTCCGTGAGGGGATTTTTGAAGAATTTTGTGGTTCCTGAGGGGATTTTGGGGTCCCTGGTGGGAATTTTCAGATTTTGGAGGACTATGAGGAAATTTTGATCAGATTTTTGGGTCTCTGAGAGGATTTTGGGGGGATTGTGAGGCAATTTTTGCTTTCTGGGGGGATTTTTGGGGTTCCTGAGTGGATTTTGGGGTTTCTGAGGGGATTTTTTTGGAATTTGGGGAGATTTTGGGGTCCCTGAGGGATTTTGGGGGGACTTGAGGGATTTTTGGGGGGATTTTGTGTTCCTAAGGGGATCTGGGGAGATTGTGAAGAAATTTTGAGGGGTTTTGGTTGATTTTGAGAAGACTTTGGGTTTTTTGATGGGATTTTTGGAGTTCCTGAGTGGATTATGGGTAAATTTGGGGGATTTTGGGGCATTTTGAGGAGATTTTTGGTATTTTGAAAGACTTTTGGGTCCTCTCAGGCTGGGCCTATCCCGGGAGGAGTTGTCAGCCATCTTGGCCGCAGGGGCGGAGCCGGAAGTGCTGGTGAGTGGGCGGAGCCTGACATGGTGGGCGGGGCCTGGAGACCATTCAGGGACCCCAAAATCAGCCCAGGACCCCCTGAAAATCCCCAAATTCCCCCAACCCCTCCCCCTCCGCAGGTGTCAATCAAGGCCCTGTGCAAGGCCAGGGAGGCGGAGCTCCAGAGGCCACATCCACACAGGTAAGCCACACCCCTTCCTCCTTAACCCCCAATTAACCCCTCAATTAATCAATTAATTAATGAACTCCAGAGCTGCCAATCACCCCAGGAAGGCTCAGGAGGCTCCAGATTGGTCGGAACAGGCTGAGGTGGGCGTGGCTGGCTGGGGGAGGGGGCGTGGCTCTGCTCAGGCCACGCCCTCTGCTCTGATTCGTGATGCCCCCTACAGGCTGTACTGATTGGCCACAGCCCAGAGGCGGTGCTTTGGGCGCTGGAGGTCCTGGCCAATCAGAGCACAAGGTGGGTGGGGCCTGAAGGAGTGGGTGGGGCTTAAAGGGGAGGAAGTGGCCAAAAGAATGGGAGGGTCTTAAAGGGGTGGGTGTGGCTTAAAGAGACGAGTGGAGCTTAAAGTGTGGGTGTGGCCTAAGAGGGTGGGTGGGGCTTTATTATGTATGGGGGGGCTCAAAAGGTGGGTGGGGCTTAAAGGGGTGGGTGGGGCTTAAAAGGGTGGGTGGGGCTCAAAGGGATTAACTGGATTTAATGGTGGGTGGGACTTCAATGAGTGGGTGGGACTTAAATATGTGGGTGGGGCTTAAATTGTGAGTGGAGCTTAAATGGATGGAGTGGGCTTAAAAGGGGTGGGTGTGGCACAAGTGGGTGGAGCTTAAATGGTGGGTGGGGCTTAAAGGAATGGATGGGTCCTAAAGAGGTGGGTGGGGGCTTTAAAAGGTGGGTGGGGCTTAAAGGGATGGGTGTGGCTTAATGAGAATAGGTGTGGCTTAATGGGCTGGGTGTGCCTTTGTCCTGGTTTAGGACAAATTAGGGGAAATCTCCAAAAGGGAGTCCCCCCCCAAAAAAAACAAACCTCCAACCACCCCTCCCCCCCCCAATACCGGGTTCGGGAAGGAATTCCTTGGAGGAGCAAAGTGGAAAACAAAACCTATTTATTGACAAATAACAAAAGAACACTCCCCAACACAAGAAAAGAAAAGAAGACCAGTCGGTGTTGTGGAGGATGCCGAGCGTCTCTCGCAGGCTCCGGAGATCCCGCCAGACGTCGGACGTCCCAGGTCAGGTCCAGAGCCGGTCCAGTATCTTCAGGGGAGGGTAAGAAAGAGAGGACGAAAGAAAAGGGAAAAAAAAAACAGCGCAGAAAGCAGCAAAGGGAAAAAAAGGCAGCTATCAGCTAGGGCTAAGGCAGTAGCAAGCAAGCAAGCAAAGCGGCAAGCAAAAGCGAGCAGGCCAGCCAGCCAAGCAGCCAAAAGCCAAAGTGCACCCAGTCCCCCTCCCTCCTCCCTCCCCGCCCCGCCGCGGCAAGACGGCCGGGGGCGGGGGGGGGGAAGAGAGAGAGAAAAAACACAGCTGCCAGACACAACACACGATATTGGGATAAAGTATTGGGATGAAGGTTGTCACCCCACGACACTCCACCCCTTATCCCATATCGTGAACATACAATAAAAAACTTTCATTTCACTTACTCACACCTTTGACACTTACGCATTCCTCTCATCTTATTTGCTCAGACCTTTGACACTTACAGTTTCCTTCTGTCTCACATTCAGCAAACAATGGCATTCATATATGAGCCTTATCCCACAATCAGGTCTCCCTGAGGTACACACCGTGTTGTTCCATCTTTCTGCATTATCCACCATGTATAACCTGGTCCTTGAGCAAAAACAATCCCACGGATGGGTTTGTCTGTACTCGAGGCAGGGTTGATCCATACTGTCTTTCCCAACAAACCTCTGACATGGGCCACTGGGGCTTTATCCCCATCTACTATATTAAGGAGCTCAGACTGAGCAGGACCCACTCGGTTGGTGGAACCTCGAGTGTTAACTAACCAGGTAGCCTTCGCCAAATGCTGCTCCCAGTTTTTTAAAGACCCCCCACCCAATGCTTTTAAGGTGGTTTTTAACAATCCATTATACCTTTCCACTTTCCCTGCAGCTGGTGCATGATAGGGGATATGGTATACCCACTCGATGCCATGTTCCCTAGCCCAAGTATTAATAAGATTGTTTTTAAAATGAGTTCCATTATCCGACTCAATTCTCTCAGGAGTACCGTGCCTCCAAAGGACCTGCTTTTCAAGGCCCAAGATAGTGTTACGAGCTGTGGCATGAGACACAGGGTAGGTTTCCAACCATCCCGTGGTGGCTTCTACCATGGTCAGTACATAGCGCTTGCCTTGGCGGGTTTGAGGCAGCGTGATGTAATCAATCTGCCAGGCCTCCCCATATTTGTACTTAGACCACCGCCCACCGTACCAGAGGGGCTTCACCCTTTTGGCCTGCTTAATGGCAGGGCACGTCTCACAGTCACGAATAACCTGAGAGATACTGTCCATGGTTAGATCCACCCCTCGGTCTCGTGCCCATTTATAGGTGGCATCTCTACCCTGGTGGCCTGAGGCATCATGGGCCCATCGTGCCAAGAATAACTCTCCCTTATGCTCCCAGTCGAGATCTATCTTCAACTCCCCCATCTTTTCAGCCTCATGTACTTGCTGGTTGTTTTGCTGCTCTTCATTAGCTCTACTTCTGGGGACATGGGCATCTACATGCCGAACCTTCACAGGTAACTTCTCTAACCGAGTAGCGATATCTTTCCACTCTTCCACAGCCCAAATTGGTTTTCCTCTGCGCTGCCAGTTCGCCTCTTTCCATCTCTTCAGCCATCCCCATAGAGCATTGGCTACCATCCAAGAATCGGTATACAAATAGAGCCTTGGCCACTTCTCTCTCTCTGCAATACCTAGGGCCAGTTGAATAGCTTTGATTTCAGCAAATTGACTGGATTCACCTTCTCCTTCAGTAGCCTCCGCAACCCGTCGAGTGGGACTCCATACAGCTGCTTTCCACCTCCGTTTCATCCCTATGACGCGACAAGAACCATCGGTGAATAAAGCGTAATGTGTTTCTTCTGCTGGCAACTGATTATATGGTGGAGCTTCCTCAACCCGGGTCACTGGCTCTTGTTCCTCATCCGCGACACTAAAGCTCTCACCTTCGGGCCAATTTGTAATTATTTCCAGGATCCCAGGGCGATTTAACTTCCCAATTCGAGCGCGCTGCGTAATGAGGGCAATCCACTTACTCCAAGTAGCATTGGTGGCATGGTGGGTAGAGGGAACCTTTCCTCTGAACATCCATCCCAGCACCGGTAGTCGGGGTGCCAGAAGAAGTTGTGCCTCTGTACCAATCACCTCCGAGGCGGCTTGGACTCCTTCATAGGCGGCCAAGATTTCTTTTTCTGTTGGGGTATAGTTATCTTCAGACCCCCTGTAGCTCCGACTCCAAAATCCCAATGGTCGGCCTCGGGTCTCGCCAGGCACCTTCTGCCAAAGGCTCCAGGACAGACCATGGCTCCCGGCCGCAGAGTAGAGCACGTTCTTCACATCTGGTCCCGTCCTAACTGGACCAAGGGCCACAGCATGAGCGATCTCCTGCTTGATTTGGACAAACGCTTGCTGCTGCTCAGGGCCCCAATGGAAGTCGTTCTTCTTGCGGGTAACCAGATAAAGGGGTCTCACAATCTGACTATACTCAGGGATGTGCATCCTCCAGAAACCTATAGCACCTAAGAAGGCTTGTGTTTCCTTCTTATCAGTTGGTGGGGACATAGCAATGATTTTGTTAATAACATCCGCAGGAATCTGACGCCATCCGTCTTGCCACTTCACCCCCAAGAACTGAATTTCTCGGGTAGGTCCCTTGACTTTGCTCTTCTTAATGGCAAATCCAGCTTTCAGGAGAATATGAATGATCTTCTCTCCTTTCTCGAACACTTCCATTGCCGTGTTCCCCCAAACAATGATATCATCAATATATTGTAAATGTTCTCGAGCCTCACCCTCTTCTAGTGCAGCCTGGATCAGTCCATGACAGATGGTAGGACTGTGTTTCCAC